CACATCGAATGTCTATAGAAAATTAAAAGATAATCTCTCATTTAAAAATGAATATCATAATGTAGAAGTCACTATTGTGCTTGCTAGTAAAAGCAAGTGTGCCTCAAGTTAGTTACAAATTTTTTTAAGGAATATAAAATCATTTTATTTGGAAAAATCGAATCTGATTTTTCAGTTTACGGTTAACCGGCCGATTTAACGGTATATTTGATGATTTTCAATTTTTCGTTTAATGTATGGTTTGAATCCAACATTGATTTTTTTCCTAGTTTTTATTAATTTCTGATCGAATTATTGGATCGGATATCCGATAACATAGTAAATTGGATATGAAATTAACAATCAAATATCTGTGGATTATCAGATCAGATATAGGTAGATCTGATCCATATCCGATTCATTTACAGCACTACTAAGCGTGAAGCAATTTGCCCGAGCTTCGATACCGCCTAGGCAAGCTTTTTAGAACACTGGTCTTGATAGACGTTTTGCTCGAATTTCAGACTTAAACAGTGCCTAGACGAGTTTTTTAGAACACTGGTCTCGATAGGCAATGAAGAATTGACAAGTACAGAAAGACGTGCACATCATTATTTGAGATCTTACCATGGACTGTAGGGGGATTCCATGCCTCAAGGAATAAAAATATGGATTTGAAAGTATTTGAGAATATTGAGAAAGATGTAAATTTTGATAATAAGAAAAATATTTGGAAATCGTGCACATGATCATGCATTTGTTAATGTATATCTTTATGCAAAATGTTTTGCTTTAGAGCGAAGGAAACTTTGGCATGAGTTGGAGAGTATTCGGATTGGTGGCTTGCCTTGGATAGTCTCGGGGGATTTTAACATTATAAGACATGACCCTGACCGTATACGAGGAAAACCAAGACCACTTGCAGCTATAGGTGAATTTAATGACTGCATGGATAGGTGTGGGCTGGTGGAAGTACAATGTGCGAGGAGGAAATTATCATGGTGTAATGGACATCACGGGTTGGGTCGTAGCTGGGCCAAATTGGATCGTAAGCCGGCAAACTCGGTTGCTTTACAGCTTTATCCTACTTTACAAATGAAATACCAAAGCGTACATCAGATCATTGCCCGATGCTCATTCATTTTCAAGATCAACACGACTTGTACGGTCCTTCTCCTTTTCGATTCTAGAAGATGAGGTGTGAACATGAGAATTTTCAATCTTGTGTTGAGCTAGTATAAAAGGGTTATGACTATGTCGAAGGGTTATGGGGCATGCAGAAGGTAGCAGCAAAATTAAAGGCCACGAAAATGGCTTTAAAAAAGTGGAATAAGCAGGTGTTTGGGCATGTGGAGTCTATCTTTGCAGAGTTGGAAGAGCGGATTTAAAGTTTGGAGAATGTTCTTAAAAGTGGTTATATAGAGAAGGTGGAAATAGAGTTTTTGAAGTCTAAGATAGAGCTCTCGGAGTGGTAAAGAAGAGAGGAGATAAGGTTCTCTCAATAGGCAAAGAAAAGATGGTTGAGTGACGAAGCATGAGAATTTCTTCCATGACCTTTTCTGATGGGTCGGTGTTAATGACCCCTAAAGATATACACAAAGCGGTGTTGTGGATTATTTTCAAAAGTTTCTATTCGAGGAGCGTGATTTTCAATTGCCAAATTTGTCATTTTATATTAATGAGTGCCAAATTTGTCGGGGATAAGGGGCTTGAACTTTGTAAGTTACCAACAGAGGAGGATGTGTGGGATACTATTCTTTCTATACATGTTGACAGTTCTCCTGGTCCAGATGGGTTTAGCTCAGCCTTCTACAGAAATAGCTAGGAGATTATTAAAGAAAATGTTGTGGAGGTGGCAGCCGAGTTCTTTGCAAGGAAAGCTATGCCAAGGTTTTATTCATCATCATATATTGTTCTCATTCCTAAAATGGAGAATTCCAAGAGTTTTGACAAGTTTGGCCTATTAGTCTCTGCTCGGTGGCTTACAAAATTATTGCAAAGATAATGGCGAAAAGAATGAAGATATTACTTCCTAGGATCATATCATTGGAACAATGGGCCTCTTTACCTGCACGTAGCATTTTTTAGAACATCATTCTCACATAGGAGATGGTACAGTCCTTGAATGGCAGGACTCAAGGTGGTAATGTGTTGATTAAGGTGGATATGGCTAGGGCATATAATAGAGTGGATTGGCGCTTTCTAATGCATGTCTTGAGATCATTTGGTTCTCCTGTATAGTTTTGTTCTTTGATTTCAGAATGCATTACAACACCCTGTTTTTCTATTATGATGAATGGCATGACTCAAGGTTTCTTTAAATCCTCTATGGGTCTGAGACTAGGTGATCCTCTCTCGCCTTATCTTTTCATTATTATGGAAGAGGTGTTGACACAACTGTTATGACATAAGTTTGAGACAGGTCGAATTGGAACCTTCTCACATCCTCGAGGGGCACCATTGGTCTCACATTTGTTGTATGCTGACGATCTTGTAGTTTTTGCTAATAGCAGTAAAAAAATCCATGAAGGAGCTTATGAAACCCTTTGCTTGCTATGAAAGGTGGTCTGGACAATTGATAAACAGAGAGAAGTCAGCTATTTTCTATCCAAGAATTGCACAGTAGCACACAAAGGTGAGATTCTTCGAGTTACTTCCTTCCATGAGGGATCTTTTCCCTTTACATATTTGAGGGTTCCAGTGGTGTTGGGCAGGTTAACGGCTCGACATTTCCAAGGATTGGTGGACAAAATTAAGAGTAAAATTGCATGCTGGAAATTGGAGTTACTATTACAAGGAGGTCGTCTCATTCTAATGAGACATGTGTTGTCTAGTATGGCAACACACTTACTATCAGTAATGCATGTGCATGTTTTAGTCTTTAGATCGTTGAACTCAATTCTATCATCTTTCTTTTGGGGTGAGGTGAATGGAAGGCCAAGGGGAAAATGGGTTGCTTGGGAGAAGATGTGCAAACTAGTGATGGAGGGGGGTCTTGGTTTTCGTAGGTTTGAGAATGAACAGCGGTCTCTACATATGAAGTTAGCATGGAAGTTATTAACTAATGATTCTCTATGGACGAGATTCTTTAGAGCTAAATACCCAGAAAATGGCTTGGTGGATGTCTCCACACTGAGTAGAAGGGGATCCAAATTTTGGAAATATATTGTGGATGTTTTACCTGAGGTAGCTGCAAACTGCCAATGGAAGGCCAGGTAATGAAATATCTCATTTTGGTTTTCTCATTGGATGCTGATTGGCCCCTTATGCCACCAAGTTACTAACATTAACCAGCCTGGTTTGAGAATACAGAATGTGTGTTTGGAATCCGGATAGGATGTTGAGGGGTTACATGAACTAGTTGGAGAAGAGGTGGCGGGCATTATTATGCAAAAACTTTATGCTTCCAAGCCTGGTCAACATATCTTGATATGAAACCACAAAAGCAGGGTATCTTTACTTCGAGAAAGTGCTTGGGATATGCTTAGAATTAAAGCTCCAGAAATGAATTGGGACAAGTGGGTTTGGAATAAAGCTATTCCTAAGCAGGTGTGAGTGGCTATGCGAAAAGCTCTATTAGGGAGTCTCGGTGTGGATTCTCGTATTCATGAAGTGGGAATTGCTAAGCTTTAAGATGTAACTACTATCTAGTAGGTCACGAGGAAAATACATATCATGTCTTGAGCACAGGGGACTTTGCGGATGAAGTTTGGAGGAAATTATCGCATTATTTAGGTGTGCGATAGAAGAGTAAAAAAGGTTGGTGGGAGCGGGTTTAGCTATGGTGGGCTTGTGCTAAGCAATCTACACATTTGGGCTGTCTTCTAGGTATGCTTCCTTGTCTAATTACCTAGCGTTTGTGGGCGAGGCGGTTTCAAGCTCGAATGGAGGGAAGGTATGAATCAGTTGAGGAAGCAGTCACATCTATAAAATTTCGATTGTAACAGATGACCTCTTCCATAAATAAGGTTAATGTCCTTTCTTCTCATGATGCTAGAATTTTGTCTAATTTGGACATTCCATGTGTGATGCAGCGGCAAAGGCAAATTCATATGATTACTTGGAGGAAGCCAATAGCGGGTAGGGTCAAACTTAATGTAGATGGCTGCAGTTTCGGGAACCTTGGTCCATCCAGTTGTTGGGGTGTTATTAGGGATGAGTTTGGAAAAGTTATGGCTGGTTTTACATNGAGAACCCTGGTCCACATGGTTGTGTGGGTGTTATTAGGGATGAGTTTGGGAATGTTATGGCTGGTTTTACATCTCAATTAGGGGAGGCTACTAATACAGAAGCAGAGTTGAGGGCTATTATTGAAGGTTTGAAGGTATGCCAACAACTTGGGGCTTGTGGTTTTGAAATTGAATGTGATTATCTAATTATTGTTAATTGGCTAATATACAGTAAGTGCACAATCTAGAATCTGTGAGATTTTTGGGAAGAGCTATTAGTTTAGATTCATCATTTTGAGGTTCATGTAATGCATCAATACATGGAAGGTAATCAAGTGGCAGATACATTAGCAAAATTAGGTGCAAAGTGGCATATACAGAGGTTTTACTCGCACATGGAACTACCCAAAGTTGCACGTGGACTTGTCCGTTTAGATCGACTTAGAGTACCTTATATTCGTAGTTGATTTATTCGTGTTATTTTGGCTGGTTGTTAGGCTTGGTTTGTTTGTTTTTCTCATTAGTCATGTTTAGTTTGTTTATCGTTAAAAAAAAAGTATATTTCATAGTGTTAATTCCTGAATGTCTCATGTTCTGTATTTTAAGTAAACATTATATAATATCATTTTACACTATATTGCTTTTATCAGTTAGAGCACTGAATGTTAATGAAATAATTTTAGATGACTTATTTTTTAAATATAGGGTAAGATAAGAATACTAAAGTCAAATACATTTTGTGCATAACTATACAATATTATTAAATAGTTTGAAAATATTTGGTATAACATTATTTTATTTTTTGAAATTTTGGTGGTGAAATTTATTAAATAAGTGAAAAATCAGACGAATTTTTAGGATGTTACAATAATATCTAGAAAATCTATGTTCATTTGAAAGGGACAAGTGGTCCAATTACTTCATAATCTATACATTCTCTAATCTACAGACGACAAGAGTTGTGTCCAAGCCTACAGGGAAAAAAATCATTAAGCATTGTATAAAATGAATATATGTATTATACTGCATAAAAATGTATCTTGAGATGATAAATGATAATGAATACAACTATTTGATAAATATAAAAATAACAATATACAACAATAAATTTAGATAGTATCAGTTTGCAATGAATCTCTGAAAACATTATTGATCCTCAAACATCACAATGTGATTCTCATTTGAACATTTTTATTTAAACATCGACGATACGTAGTGTACAATATCTGTTCTATGAACTTTCAACTCCTCAACCGAAGCGAGCATAGGACTCTACTCTCCAACTAAATTCTTAAGCACGTATTTGAATACTAAAGGTTTGTTTGAGCCCCATTTTTGGGAGAATAAATTTTATGATAGTGATTTTTTAAGAATATGTGGGTAAAAAGTAAATATTTTTGGATATATGCGTAAAACTATTTTGTTAAGACAATGTATACTTGAAAATGAATTTGAGGAAAATGAGGTTTCAAAAAATAGCACTCAAGCAGGGCTAAGATATCATTGGGACTCGTTGTCTCTGTGCATAACTTGTCCATCACTCTACGCTTACACAACTTGTTCTAAAGGATTTCGCTACACTTATTTTCCACAATTAACATCTCAATACAAACTGCAATTGTAAACCCTATTACAAGACACACTTTATAATGACACTCTTACAATCTTCCTCAAATGATCGAACAATATTGTAATTAGAGAGATGCAGAATAGATGTACAATTGAGAAATAGGGATTTATACGTAATAGCTCATTGCGTCCTTCTTAATAATTAGACATATATCTATTTTGCACGGATTGTCGCTAACAATTAAAAGAAACGTTCAGACGATTGTGTAAGGAACAAACCTCTTGAAACAAAGTCTCAAAAAAGGGTGCTTTATTGATGAAAATTACAATTGGAAAGAAACAGAATGCCTCCAAGGGGCGTAAGCACACGAATACTAAGAAGAAATATTTTAAAGTTAACTAAGAAATGAAATTACATATTCTCTGTTGAGAGTATTTGATTCAGGGTCCTTTCTTCTATATCTTCTTTTCCTTTTTATACTTCTTTACTGATTTCCTCTTGAAAAACTGCTTGGAAACTGCTCTATAACTACCCACTTTCTTC